CAGGATAAATTTATGAGAATTATCATGCCCTCACGCATTACAGAGATGGCCGCAGGTAAGGAGCTGATACATTAACGCTTTCAACCTTCATTTAACAAGAATGTGCAACTGAAAAACAGTAAACAAATTTAATCGTGTTACAATTCGGGCAAGTAATTTTCTTTACAACAGATACAAAACCTATTCATATTATTGGTTCTTTCAGTAAAGTCACGTAGAAGGGAAATAATAAAATAATACAAAATAAAACAATAAAATTATCACGACGTTTCGAATGCAACACAAGCAATCATCATCAGGTGTGAAAACCACAGCAAGAAAATTTTGAAGAAAGGCCAGTGCCAGAAATGAGAAAACTATAAATTTTTATATTTTTCGAGTCTTATTAGCATAATTGACATCGTTTGGTTATCTTGCAAAGAACGTAAACGGGACCCATAACTCAGGCAGCAATCTCTGAAAAAAACATTCATGACAAATAAACCCCCAACCAGGACGATTTGCTCCAAATTTAAAAAGCGAATCTAATGCCATGTAAGCGCTTTTGTGACAAAATATTAAAATTACATGCTAGGGTTGAGTTACATATGGTATCACTTAAAAACAAAATAAATAACAAATGAAGTGTACCCGAAGCCTCCACAAACACCTCCGGCTATATTTATTTTGTTTTTAATGCCACGGCTGTAATTTTCGCGAGTACAGCCACACGCGTTGCAATGCTGATCCAGTTACGTTGTGTCCACTCCAGTAATAACAGGAGTGCAATGCAACAACGAGACCCATCACCGGCAATTTAACGAACGGTCCTTATTTTACGTCTTGTTTGTATCGTCTCATATGTTGTGTTGCTCAATCTACTCTCAAGTAGGTACATTATCGTAAAAAATTGCATTTATTTATAGAAATTAGAACTAGTCCATCATTAGTGGTGCATGCATCGCGAGTGTAGGAATACATTTTCACACATTGATGAATATTATATACCTAATCCGAGAATCCTCTACACCAGTGTCTTAGTACGAGTGGTCCAGCATGGGTCACGGTCGGTGCCATTGATGTAAATATGAAATGTTTTTCCTCACAAAGCACCACATTTTCTCCTACATGGCAGTTCGAGGAAACATTTTGAGGGCTAACGGTTTAGAGCCATTGCTCTACACGCTGCTGATGCGACTCAGAAAGTCAAAGCCAGTCCAGAATTTGTGTCTTAAACGATTTTTGCTTACTATTGGTTCTTTCGGTAAAGTCACGTAGAAGGGAAATAAGAAAAATAAAACAATAAAATTCTCACGACGTTTCGATTGCAACATAAGCAATCATCAGGTGTGAAAACCACAGCAAGAAAATTTTAAAAAGTGGTGGTTTTTTCTTGCTGTGGTTTTCACACCTGATGATGATTGCTTGTGTTGCAATCGAAACAGTGAGAATTTTATAGTTTGATTTTCATTATTTTCATTCTACGTGACTTTACCGAAAGAACCAAGAATATGAATCCCTGCAGTCACGAAAGCTTTAAATCTAGATTTTTGCTTAGTTACAGATATTGGAAGCTTTTTCAGGAACTGAGAGTTTGAGTTCCTGAAAGATTTTAATTTCTGAAGATTCAGATTCTGAAGAAGCTCCCAGCACATGGGAGTGAAACATCGAACAGAATCAGAATCTTTATTTATAATGGACGAATCCGATGAGTTATGAAGCTCTTTTTCACAGATGTCCAGTATGGATAGGTCGGCAACACTTGTAACAACCCGGAAACACATCGGAGAGCCTAAATGCTATTTTACATGGTATAAGAATCTATTTCAATCATTGAATCAACGAATCTCCAAATGCTTCGTGAACAATGTGTGAAGTTCACACCCCACATCCTAGATGTCAACAGCTACAAGCATCACTTTACACTGAGCCGGGGGCAATACGTTTTTAATGGAGGATGTCTCAGTAATGAGCAGTTGGCGGAGCTACCACTGGCAATAGCAGCAGATTACGGGAGGCAGATCCTCAAAGCTACTGAACACTATTCGCATTAGAGTTCACAGCACAAAGAAACAGCATTGTTACTCATTTTCTTGTGGATTATTTACGTAGAAGAGATATAAAAAAAAATCCAACTAATTTCATATTCAACTAGATCTGTAAACCATGTGTGCATACTTTATGTATTTAATTTAAGGCTAACCAGATGAAAATGTCCACTGTAAAGCCATACAAATTTTAAGAGCTAATCATCGGGATGGATTGAAGGCAATTTTCAGAACTAATTCAGTATTTTATTGAAGGACTTATCTTTATTAACATTTCCTTTCAACCAATGCTACATGCAAATCATTAATAATAGATTTTATGCGGCTATCCCTTGAAATAACATTATCTCTTTTCCCCCGGAATGTTTCATCCATGCCTAAAACCAGGCTCTGCATAACCTTTGTTAGGTAGAAAGGGCACATTCTTACACTGTGCATATGATTAATAATCCACTAATTATCTCCCCAGAGAAGCCAACTTTGTCTATTTGAACAAATCTAAAACATGGCCTAATCGGAAGTGGAACAATTGCAGTAATGAGTTTCATGCTGTTATAAAATTATGATTCACTCAATATTTAACTACACTGGTTCACACTAATTATTTATGAACAGAGTAAAATCAAAGGGCAACGTAGGTTGTCAATTTTCAAGCATAAAGTTATTTTTCATATGCTTCCTGCCAAGACACCCAATTATTATATTTACTGCAAGCATCATTGTTTAAAAACCTAAAAATAAAAAAGTACCAGCAGCATCATTAAGTACATTCGAATGTACCATATTTAACTTCAACATGTATATATTTAATCATGCTGTAGCTGATACCACTCATCAATGACAACATAAACACAGGCGCACAACTGACGTCAAAAACAACCGATGTCAATATGACCCCTATCACACAAACCCAAACCACACGTTCGCCTCTAGAGTTGAAAACAAACGCATCGAAGACTGCCTCAAGCACACCCCCCGTACCTCCCAGCCCAAGACTAGGACTTGTTGGCAATGGTCAAGCGTCACTAAGAGTGGCTGAGCAGCTGGCGCTATGCCCTTGCCACCTGCCAAGTGCAAGCACGTGTCCTTTGTTATGTAACATGCAACCCTTGAAGCTGGCAACTGTACGTGGCAGAAACAGAAGAAAAAACACAATAACTGTGGAGGAAAGCCCTAAAACTGCACGGCCTCATCACGGCAACACAACCCCATCCAGTGACAACCACGAGACTGAGATAACCGCACATCCATCCGCTCACGCAAAAACCCACGTATCCAAACATCCACACAAATACCCACTCAACCAGTCGACCCACGATGTATGTATGCATGTCTAACTTCTTTCGCACCGTACTCAGCCAACCGTGCTAATCGGAGGTGCGGGGGAAGGACAACACAATAATTCACACCAATCCACCCACCCAAACAAACACATTTCCAAGCACACAAACATCTAAAAACACTCACCAAGTGTCAGAATACCTATAAAAACACTCACCAAGTGTCTCTTTATACAGTAGATCATCGATTATTCAGTGGCTTCGGGGGGGAAGGGGGCACCAGGTTTTTAAATACGCCGGTTAATCACATCAGTATTTTAAATATCATATTTTTGCACATTCTTGTATAGCATTATATTTTTAGGTCTTGCATAGACTTTTTTTAGTGTTTTCAATTTGTTCACTATTTGAAATTAGCATAAACATACAAATATACAAAACTAAATATCCTACTTAAAAAGTTAGTGTATTTACTGTACCATACTTACCACTCAAAACTCGAAGACTCTGCATGGGGTGATGGATACATGATCTTGTTTCAACAACATGTGTTTGACCATCACGAGACTGATGCAGCCTTTAGACCGGTGCTCTGGCGAACGCAGAATTACACGCACTATTTGCCGGATTGCAATGAATGTTTTCTGTTTTTATTACAGTAATTAGTCAAGAAAAATGTATATACGTTAAGTATATTGATTGTTTAAGTTGTTATATGTAGTGTATATACTGTACTGTATATATTTGACACTGAAATCAAGCATAGCTATTTTTTTTCGTCACGCACATAGTGCCCGGGCTGGTATACAACCTTTGGTGCGGTTTTGCCGGATTGGCCCAGGACCGCCAGATAATGTTGGAAGCCGGATAATTGCGTGCTGGATAATCGACGATCAACTGTAATTCCATTTGCTATCTAAGGATTTCTCTCAGCATTAAAAACAAGCAGTCTTGCTTGTCAACAAAATGTATCCAAATTGCCGCCGAGAAAGGAAAACAAAACAGTCTCTCGTAGGGCAGCCGCGTGTATTGTGTTTAATTGTGTTTAACGGCCGCAGTGGGAAAAGTGTTAAGTCCAACACCGTAAAATAAATTGCAATCACCAATTCTTCCAAGCGGCAATAATACCGCCTCACCAAGGACAAAATTAAAAACTCTCAGAGCAGCACAGTGACTCATGTGCATTATGTGGCATGGGCTGAAAGCAAAGGGTTGCTGCTGTCTGCTCGTTGAGTGCACATTAATCAATGCTCAGGTGGAGTCTCCAGAATCCACCCCCCCCCCCCCACACATATATATACGACCATCTTTGCGCTGCAGAGAACATCTTCTTTGGAGCTGGTACCGGTGTCCGATCCAATCCTGCCCCCTCTTAAATAAAATGGCTATCATGCAGGAGTGAGCCCAAGTCAGCCTGCTTTGTCATCTGCTCGGCTCAAGAGTAAAGATAAAGCAATGCATTTCAGAATCCCTGCAGCACGAACAGCTGCGTCACTTCCCACAAAAGTACAAGACCGCCCTTCGTCAAAAGTAACATCGATTCTAGAAAAAAACTATACACGTGGGAGTGCATTTAGCTTTGAAACGTGCCGCACATCGATGACAGTGTGCATGCACGGCTTAAAGCGTGCAACAGGGCAGATTCTTACAAACGGACGGAATTGTCGCAATGCCGGTTCAGCATAAAGGATATCTGTCGGCCGTGCTTGTCGATGGGTAGCTGACGGCGGTGCGGGGATATGAGGCGGCTCCGGCTGGACACGCGTTCAACCAGGCCGTGGTGCCGCGTTCCCCGCGTCGTGTCCAGGTTTGTGTAGAAGGACGTCTGTGGAGCAGAACCCTTCGGCTGTCAAAGATACCCTGCCTGTTCAAAACCCACTGGATGCATCCATACAAGTGGTGTTACAATGAAGGCCAAGAAAATCTGGCGGCGCTAAAGGATCAAAGGAAGCCGCGAATATGCAAATAAAAACCAAGTCAGCGATGAGTTAAAAAAAAACAATGCATTTAAGAAGCGCATATCAGCAGAATTCGTTAAATGTCTCCACAAATATACAAAAATATGTTTTAGTCCATCAGATTCTTGCCCTTTCAGGCAATATTATCAATAGCAACTTGTTTAAGCAAATCCTGAACCGGTTATGCTGGTGGATTACCGAATGTTCGAGTAAAGAGCATACCGTATAAACAATGTGACCTTGTTCAACGCAAAAAACTATGCCGCACACAAACTCATTATGCGTTGTAGTGGAGAAATATAGGTAAAACATTTATTTATAAGCATAATTCTGTTCTGCGTCTCCACATGTAAATAAAATAGTTTTTAGCCCAGTAGCCTAATTATTGACTTTTCAGACTAAAAGTTGTGTTTCTCAACTCCAGCCCTCCCGACTTGATGAAAAAACTCATTCATCAACAATACTGTCATAACAGGAAAGATAGGCGACGTTTCAAGCAACGGCCCGGCCCGTCTTCATAACCACTGCAAAAAAACGTCAACTATTATATATACTCTTCCTTGACGAATGTGTTGAGTTTTTTCGTTATTTGTGCACCACCGCTAATGCAGCATGACCAGATGTGGTTATATTTTATGCCAATTGAAGCCACTGCGTACTGTCTATATAAAAAGTTGTATTGTGGTGGTGGGTTGTGACGACTGGAGGTGAAAAACACTTTTAGAATTGCTGGTCACAAACCCTCATGCAAAAATTATGCCCAGCAACTCATCATTCCTCTGGGTTAGCCTCGAGATGAAAATGCGGTTGTGTTAGGTTGATGATGATCACATTTGATGGTGTCAAACAAGATTTGAAGATCTGCCTTAGCAAAGTTATTCATAACAGAATACTTGTTTGAAATGTAATTGGAGTCACATTATTCGTGGAAATGGCACAAAAATAATTTAATATATCATTCCATTGCCACAGTTGTTAATTATTCTGTTCAGTGGTCGTCAACCCTTTGAGGAATGTTCAGAAAACCAACTGAACCCAAGTAAAATTCTTCCACACATACCTTTTCCCATCAGCAATGCAATTACGCACAAGGATAAGATTAACCTTAATGCTAGAGCTCCTGCAAGCAATCATTACTCTGCTGAAAGAATCTCACCCTTCTCGCTACACACAAACACACGATTTGTAAATACGCCTGGGCATGCGCCCAGGTGGTCATTGAATCTCCCCTTTCCATGAACGGTAAACGCTCAATTTAGTTTTAAAACTAAATTTCATATAAATACCTCAGTGTCGATCAAACTGCCAGTGTATTCTCTTGAAGTGCACGTAAATATAGAAAACACACTCGCAATCTACGAGTTAACTCAGTATCTACTGAGTGGACAAATTACGTCACAATGTGGCCGTCACTCGATTAACTTAGCGAACAAACACTGCGAACCGGAAGCAGCCGTAAACCATGGGGAATTATATACACGCTATGCCAACAAACTGTGTGATACCACTGTGCCTTTGGGAAGGGCTAGCCGCCTGCAGAGTATTATTGATTTGAGTAAACCAAACTGGCTAAAAGGTGTGTTTAGCGACAGCAAATTTGTGTTTGAAACAATTGTTGAACTTTAAGTGATTGGCCACAATATTATTGATAGAGGGGGGTTAAACGTTAGTATAGTTTGCATGAGGTGAGTATATAGAGACTGCCAGAGAAAACAGGTCAGTACACTGCAAATGTTTTCCTTATGTTTGTGCCAATACAGTTTGTGTATAACTTAAAATAATAGCATCAAAATGTTTTAATGGGGTGGGATTCATTTCTGTAAGTTCAGTTTGCGGCATCTCCCCTTAACATCTTAAGAAGAGATGAAACCCAAAAACAAATATCCCTTAAGTTTTTAGATGGCACTATATTGCAAAAACGGCATCACTAACGGTATATGTACAGCCCTTAGCAAATCCACTACTGGATGAGGGCCTCCCTACACCATGCGGGTTGTAGGGGTTATGTGACCATTCTCCACTTTCCTGGTTAGTGCAGGTTGAATGTGGGGGGCGCATCGACTTAGGAGTATAGTACAGTACAATGGATTTTGCCGCACTGCCCTCTTCTGCATCAATCGCAGCCCTGCAGCTTCTAATAACCTGCTTGTAAATGGTGAGCACTATCCAGATTCAGCCATACTTCGCTTCTGTGATCGGACGAGATAGGGCACATTCCAGGTTATGTCGTCAGGCTGACTGCAACAATTTGAAATGGCATTATTTCCATTATGAAAATTATGTTATTGTTGATAGACTGGTTTCCACAATAGTTCCATCAACTGGGGCAGATGTTGACACAAAAGCCAGTGCTATATCTATATGCAATTAGCATGATGGTTTCCTGTTAAGGAAATGTGAAACACAAGAAACTAATAACTCTCACCTTACTTAGGCTGTATGCTCCAGGCTATTTTGTGTGAAGTTTTGGGAATAAAAAAAAGATAGGCTTTGAAGTTACACTCAAACACACCATAATAGATCTGTAGTGACATCACTGCACTATGATGGAGCAGCTGGCTGTGATTTTCAAGTTTATTTACAAAACACAGCCTAGATGCATGTATACAAGAAAACATCTGTGTTATTGGTTTGCAAAGTTGTAATGATATACTTTATAGAAATTGTGAATATTTACTTCACAATCCACAAATAATATGCCTGGCCATGAAATGTCATGGGCACTGACATAAAGGACATCTAATACGGTTAAATATGCCAGTGGCTCTCAAACTTCAGGCCACAGGCCCCATCATGTCCCAGTTTCCTATTTATACACATCAATATATTGCATTAAATCTTGACTCAAAAAGCTTTCGTGACTGCAGGAATTCATATTCTTTGGGTCATTCGGTAAAGTAACGCAGATAGGTTATTTTTATTTGATTTTCTTTGAACCTATCTACGTGACTTTGCCGAAAGACCCAAAGAATAATATATTGCATGCGACGAAAACTTCATAATTTGTCTGAACATCAATAAAACACAGACCCTTGAATCGGCGGTAGGCCGCAGGGCTCATAAAACAAAGCAACTAAATAAAAAAATATACCGAGGACATGAATGCATTTGAAAGAGTGGTTTCGCTTAATCCGCAAAATGCCATGGTGTGAAGAATGGACCCTCAGCGAGTAAAATGCAAAACAAATACAATACACATGCTCGCTACACAAAGGACCCTATCTACCACGAGGCTCTCACTTCGATCACTACCCAATACACACCCCCATAGAAAAATGGCACATCCAAATATAAAATCTACACGTATTTCTAATGACACAGGTTTGACCGAATCTCATTTGGAGCATTCCATTTCATATGAGAGGTGTGCGGTGCACATTACACTCGAATGCAGGTAGCTGTCCCTTGGGCCTGGTTGCCACTGTTATTCATCGCGTTATTTTCACAGAAGCAATGGAAGGAGACCAGTTGCTGAGGGGGGTGCACTGTGCAGTGAGGTGGGTAACTGCACATGCAGGATGCTTACCTGAAAATCCAGCGGGGCATTCACCATCTGGTTGACATTGGGCAGTGATCCTCCATAGTACTGAGTGCGGCTTTGTGCCAGCTGCAGCTGTTGGGCCTTGAAGTGTAGCTGTTAGAAACGACACAGGACACACAAACATATAGACACGTGAGGTTCCATGGAGGATTTTTTTTTTGTTAAACCTTGTAAACATCTTTTTCTCCAAGTGTATTCCGATTGTGCTATCGGCGTCAAATTATTTAGACGAGGAATTTGTTCAGATGTATCGCAGATCCGCGCAAACCTTCATTTGTAGAAAACGGCCGACAGGATATCAAGGAGCTAGCTCTTGTGATTCCTTTAAGTGACCTATGTTCAATATAGACAAAACAATATTTTGTACCTGAAAAAGGTGGAATTTGGATACACTAAGTGCACAAAAAAATCGAAGTGATGTTTTTTTTGTGCAGTCACTGATGACCGGTCAAGACCATCACCTCACTGGAGAACCAAGTTTAATGAACGGCGGCTGTCTGGATTTGAACCTACCATCTCTCAAGTGCAAGCTCAGCGATCTGACCTTTGGCTCAAAGATTCCATCAAAACCCACAATTTTTTATTTCATATACTGAATTCACGGTGCTGGCTGCATGAAATGTATCAGATATTGCTAAAAGTATAGAGTAGAAATAAATAAAATGAAGGATGGATGCGATTATGATGTTTTGACTATAAATACCTAACTTTAGATAAAATATGTATGTAATGTTTGTTACAGGGAACATTTAAAAATATACGTTTACACTACTGTGGCATCCAAGTCACATTACCCGATTCACATTTATGAAAAACGATACATGGTGCAAGAAACAATAACATTGGCAGATAAAATGATCATTTAAATCTTACTTAAAATAATGCTAAAACACACCCTGTTAGATTTAATTGAACAATGCAAAACACACCTCAAAATAATAATTGGCCCAACAATGCCAATGCAGAACCCTGAAAAAGAGTCTTGAGTTTCAGTGAAGATTTCCTGGGTAAATAATAAGAGTCACTGCTGCAGTGAACTTAAAAAAGGTCAATCAAATGGATTTGTTTTGCGGTCAAGAAAGGAAAGATCAGCTGCAGTTCAAACTAGAATAGTTTAATTTAAAAATACTATTCATTGACAAACCGCTGCTGAATAAAGGCCACACTACACTCTGTCAATCATGGGGGGGGTTG